CTAATTTCTTAAAGTAATACACAGCTTCCCAATTTGTTGCACAAAAGAGTTCACAACTTTTAGGACAAGATATCAACTTACACTTATGTAGGCAAAGTGGCCAGTTATAATGAACAGTACTATAACTGTTCATTATAACAGCTATGGGAATAATTTCTCCCATAGCTGGGAGAAATTCCTAATTAATTTGCTGCCTATGCCGACACAAAAGGTTTATTTGGGAGATGCACATCATGACAGCAGAAGGATCAACACCAGCAGGACAGTGAAGATGGGAGAGGCCACCATACCAGGACAGAAGGAAAAAATGCTACAAGAGAAAGAAAAACATCCTGAGAATATACATCAATTCACTCATCCTGTATTAAGTTTAATTAAGTGAGTATTAAGGTCATTAATATAATTTTATTGTAATGCAATGTCAAATTCTGTAATTTAGCTAATATGTTTTTCAATGGTGATGTAGTGAGGATCTGTTTCCTCATAATGAATAAACTTTTTTTTTTCAAAAATCAGGCACTTATTTTATTAAAAACTAAAGTTGTATGTATTTAGAAACAAGTAATGCATGCTAAGTGCAGTACTAGTAAAATTCACCCTGTTATTTTACTGAACTTTGAAGGTATGTAGTCAACAACCAGGTGAACACTGAGGAGGACCGAATACAACTTAGAAGGTGTTACTTGACAATTTGTTTTACCGTGCAGAGCATGGACTTTCATTCAGTTTTGGTGGAGGATTTCTTATGTTCGCTGGTCTTAACTGAGGACATGGTAAAGTTGTTCCATTGATCAGTGGGGTGAGATCTATCAAAGGACAAAACGATCAGTTCGATTAAACAAATACAATGTCTGAGCAAGTTGAATAGAACTTTCCAGCACTCCCACCTTGTAAAGAACAAATACAAACTCCATAGAGCCAAAATGCAAAATGTTAATTTGAAGTTTACATGTAACACAATTTACATAATGCACTGCATCATTAACTGTGATTCTCAGTCCTTTCAAAAGAGCTACTCTGAATGACAGCAAACATGTTTTCAGTGAGGGTAGAAATAAGAAATTATATATCAGAGACAAAAGTTTTCTTGATTCTTTGTGTCCCCAAAAATGTTGAAGATGAGACAGAAGTTCTTGTGACATTATCTATAGTTTGCAAAAACTATTTTAATTAAAACATTTCACCTACCTTCAAAGTTGAACATGAAAATGACACTTCCTCCCTTGAGGAACTCTCTGGAATGCAATTATTCTAATGTTAAAAAATATCCGTCTCCCCAGAGAAGCCCATTATAGATTAGTTCTCCATTCTCATAAAATGATCCATATCTAGTCTTCCTAGGATTGTCCCAGACAGAGGCACCTGTTTATATGACACGATACATGAGAATACACATTTGTTCTTTTACCATCATTTTATGATAAACTTACCAAGTACTACTTGATTATCGTTAGAAACAAAAGTAGAATGCTTGGACATTTGCAGTTGCTTGTTTGGGGTTTGATCCAGCAACTGGAAAATCATATGTCTTTGCAGACAAGGATATTGCAGCTGGTCATCATTCTGACTAGACAAGAGCTGCACATACATTCCAATATATGCTTTATAAAGAATAGTGGCTACTCGGTAAGCATAGCCGTCTTTGGAGAATTGTCGTGGGCTGTTCCTTCTGGTTCCAGAGCTGCTTGTGTTTAAAAGATTCTCCAAGTCATCAATCTGCCAGACAAAGTGTGGACACTCTGTCTCTGAGAGATTGATGTCATCAATGGAGAAACCTCCTGTGGAGATTCCTGCTCCTTTCCGGACCTCAAACACCACCTGGAAGTCCTTGGTGGCATTCAAGGAAACATGGTGGATCTTCCAGTGAGATGTTGGTGAACCTGGAGTAAGAGGTTTTAATTTACTATGCTACACAATTTTAATATGACATCATACAAAAGTGAAAAGTTACAGATATTTATAAGTTTTACCAGTAATTTGTCCCATAAGGCGGAGAGTTCCTGTGGTGTCCTGATCGTTTTCAAACTCTCTGATCCAGATATTAAGTTCATCTGATTCATTTCCACTGTGGAAATAGTAGAACTGCAGACACTGGACATTACATGCTCTGGTCGGCTTCACTACCTCCGTTTCCAGTCGTGCTGAATCTCCTTCTTGACCTGATGCTGTGCTCACATGGATGAAGTACCCAGTTTCTTTACCTGCAAATATGTTGATAAAGACAATGTTTCTCATAAATCACCTTCATCCATATCAGTGGTTCCCAAAGATTTTCTTCTGGGGACCCCCTATGGATTACAATAAAATCCCATGCCCACGGCCAAGAAAAAAAAAAAAATCAATTTGGCACAAACATCGTTCAACCAGATATAAACCTACACTCAATTTGTTTTCAAACTCCCCTGAAGTTTACTTCATGAAGTAAACTTCATGAAGCTTTTAATACAAAGTTGACATTATTCAAAATGTCTTTGTCATTCAAAATGAACTGCATTCATGAAATAAACTTCATGAATGCTTCATATTGCAACAAAACAAACTACAAACCATCTTTACAGTGAAACACGTTTGTGTAACTGTTTTTTTAGTTAGTTTTTAGTTGGTTAATGTCAAGTTGTCATAACAAAGACATTTTGAATAATGTCAACTTTGTATTAAAAGTGTCTTAATTTACCGAATGACGCTTTATGACAACAGTCACAAATATTCATGAAGGCTTATTCATGTCCATAACAGGTGTTATGTCATGTTTATGACAGTGTCATGTCAGTCTTATTCACCCCCCTTCAAATTAAGTGTTACCGAAAAATGTAGCCTTTCATCTTCATGCTGGCTTTGTGGATGAAGTCTAACTTTGAGCTTCACAGAAAACACATTAGATGAAATTAAATGTTAAAATAATTTAATCCAGTGAAGATTCATGACTTTCACTATATTCCATAAATTTTACAATAATTAATCTCCGACCTGTATGAAGACTTTCAGAAGCTCAGAATCTGTTCAAATGAGATTCTAAACAAATATAAAGGACTTTTAAAATCTCACTCTGTTACAAAACAGGTTGGATTATTTCAAAACGTCAACGTCATACTGAAAGGTTTTGCTTTGAGGTTGACTTTATAGTTGTAGGCAGGACTTCTTTTGCAGCTGTCACACCTTATTTCCTATTGGGTTATGAAATGGTGCTGTAGTCCATCAAGGATCTCAGTTAACTAGAATGTTATATTGAGCCTCACTATCTAGATTAAAATGCTAAAATGTTATGCTAATTTATCTAAAACCAAACAAAAGCTTTCTCAAACAATATAATCATTACTTCTAGGAATATCTGTCTGTTACAGTAGGTGCAGTGTTGGTTGAAACAATTCTGCAAAAGTCAAAGCATTATTACTCAATATAATCTTTCTGCATTTTAATTTTATCTACAGCAACTATACATTCAACAACAACACAAATTGCCATGTGTGTGAAATATGTTATCTTGAGAGCTGTGATCCTTGGCTGAACTCAAAAAACTTCTCAAAATGTATTATTAGGTTTGCAGACAATAAAGATAAGCCTTAATAAATTTGATCATGTAAATACAAACTCCATCCATCCATCCATCCATCCATCCATCCATCCATCCATCCATCCATCCATCCATCCATC